AAAAAAAAAACATAGCCAGTGCTCAAGCTCCTCATGTTATATGTTGAACTCTTAGAAATGAGAACTTTTTCATTTGAAAGCAGATAAAATGTGATAATTTTTGTTTTAATTTGAAAGCAGATAAACAAACAATTGTGGAATGATGTAGAGAAATCTAATTACAAAGCAAAAGCAAAATTAGATAAAGAAAACTAAATACTCTGTGATCATCTCGGTATGGAATTACTACTTACTAATATACCCTGTTTGAATGCAGGTAAGAACCTATCTCCAGATTTTAACTTTAAAGCGCGAGGGTAATTTGGTATGTTTGGATCAAACTCTTCCCTCCATATTATTATAAATTGCTAATCACCATTAAAATGAGAGAAAAAAAAAAAAAATCAAATTGGGAAAATTGATCTTAGGTTGAGGTAAGAAAGCAGAGAACTGCATTTCCTCCCAACTTTGTGCACTCACTCGACGGCTCACACATGATGATGACTGCCATTGCATGTCGAGATGCTGGATTGCGTTTTGCAGGTTTATCTCTCTCGTTCCACTATAAGCCAATGGTTCATCATATTTATGTGTTTAGAACGAAACGAACAGTTATAAGAAGACTTTCACAAGTGAAGTGACATTTGCTGCAAATGTTAAATGTACTCTTTGGAATGTGATGCAGGTGTGCACGACTCGTTTTGGACACATGCATGCGATGTTGATAGAATGAGTAAGATTCTGAGACAAAAGTTCGTGGATCTATATAATATGCCGATACTTGAAAACGTAAGCCCTAAATCACCTCAAGTGGCCCCCTTTTTTTTTCTTGTGTTTTGAACTAAATGACCAACCCTGAGTTGTTTCCCTGTATTTTGTATATCGTATTATTTATTTCAGTTCATTTTGTATACCGGGATTCATTTTTGGCAAAATAGCATGTTTAATCCTGCTGGTTTCACGCCATAGCAATTTTTGTCCCAAGGTTCTAACATTGATTTCAGAGGATTGAAATTGCATTTTTTTCTTTTAATATCTATATTTTTACGATGTTACTTTTCTTCCAGCTGCTCGAGAGCTTCGAGACATCATATCCAACACTCACATTTCCACCTCTGCCAGATAGAGGAGACTTTGATCTCAACCAAGTTCTTGAATCTCCATACTTTTTCAACTAATCCACAGTCTAACAAGACTACAATTTTGGTTGTTCGTCACGAAAGAAAGGTTTTTTTCCCCAACTTCCCTGGCTTCGGTACAAAGTCCAATGCCTCGGGCTTTCGTGAACTTCTCATGCACAGATTTCTGAGACATTAAGGAAAAATAAATCGAGCTTTTGAGCTTCCAAGTCGAGTTACGTGCTTTTTCTTTGATATGGCACTATGCATTGTGTAGTGATTGTTGCTGATTGTGTACACAAATGTGCATTTTTTTGGGACATGAAAGAAGAGGAAAAGCCATTGGTTTTCGGAAGAGTTCGGTTGTATATATATATCTTGTACAAATACGTAGTTTTTTTTTTGTCGATTATTCGAGTGAGTTTACTATGTATACAGTGTCTGTGTTCTGAGTTATATTATTAAATACTGTACATTGATGGATTTTGTTCTCCAAAATTCATGTTTCTTTTGGTAATTTCTGTAGGATTTTTGTTAATTTTTGTTATTGATTCTAACTTGCGAAGCGATACATGAATGCCCTTTTATGAACCATTAGTTTTGTAACTGATCACATAATTTTTTTTTCTTTTTTAACTCAAAATCTAACATAAATTTAAATCAATTCAACTCTTTTTAATATTATCAATATAATAAAATAATATCAATCAATTATTGTCAACATCAATTTTAATTCATTATTCATCAACTCACATAAGTTCAATTATTCATCACTCTGAATCATTTTTTTCCTATTTTTATATCAAATAATTTAATCATTATAATTTTAAATAATATGTTAATATAAACTCAAAATCTCAATCAATAAAGACACAATCAGCTTTTTTAAAAAAAATAAAATATTATCACTTTATTTAACAAATTCAATCAATTTTTTATCCAATCAAGTCCTAAGGGCGTGTTTGGATATGGTCATAAATGGTTTTAATTTGTTATGACTAATCAAATTATTTTGTTTTCGATCACCACTATTACACATGATTGGCGTAATGAAATGAAATCTGATAAGAATATAATAAGCTGAAGAATTAAATGGATATGAGAAATAAATGAAACTATTTGTCCGTTGATGTGTTTGGTATACATATACTTAGAGGTGAGCATCGGTGCGGTTCGGTCAAAAACCGCACCGCACCGGAAAAAACTGAAAACCGAATTTTTAAAATTTTTTTACCGAACCGCACCGAACTGAAAATTTCGGTTCGGTGCGGTTCGGTTTTTCGGTTAACCAAAATTTAGAAAGATAACCACCAATAAATGTTATGTAAGTAAAATTGTAAAAATTAAGGTGATATTTTATTAAAAAAAAGTGACATTTTATGACATTCGGTGCGGTTCGGTTAAAACTGCACCCTTCGGACAAAAAACCGAACCGCACCGAAATACTTGCGGTTTTTCAAAACCCAAACCGCACCGGTAACCGAACTTACAAAAAGCCGCACCGAATAGCTCGGTTTGGTGCGGTTTTTGGGTTTCGGCTCGGTTTTGCTCACCTCTAACTATACTAAGGAATAAGTTCTGAATGAAATGACACTATCATTCTATATTATCATTTATCACTACTTTATAGAAAAAAATAATATTTAATGCTATTTTTTTATCTGATAATAACAAAATTATTTTATTTCTTAAAATGATATATTATATTTTAATGAATGTATTTTTGTATTATTACACTCGTATCTATTTTATAATAAAATAGTGAATCGTGTATTTATATTGCATATTAAATAATAGAACTATACCATTACATAAATTCCTATAAGCATATGTGGTCGAGTATACTTTTTTCTTATATTATAATTTAATTTATAAATAAATATATAATATATATGATGTTCAAAAATAAAATAATATCTTAAATTATTCAAAAATACATTTTTTTTTTAATTTTATTTTTATATAAGTATTATATTTAATTAAAATATGATACTAATTAAATTATGAACAATAAATAAATAGAAGTGTTTCTCGTTTATAAGAGACCCAAATACAAAAACTACTCTCACTATCGCGTCTTTTTTCCCTCGTTTTTCGTTTCACAGATACCACGCCGTTAGCGAGAGGCGGGCCGCCGTGCTGTCTATCAATCTCTCGGCGAATTTCGTATTGTCAGTTTGCGCCGCCTACAAGCTGAAGTCGGTGGTTTTCATAAAGCTATATTTAGCACCGACGAGGATTTCTGATTCAATTGATTGTCAGTTTCTTGCCGATACCTTCTTCGATTACAACGTTGTTGTCTAAGGTAACGAATGAAGATTTTATTTTTATTGATACCCTGAATCTTAATTTCGTCGGGCTTGGACGTGGACTGAAGATGAATGTCTTCGTTTCGTTTTGCTCTTTTTTTTTTTTGTTTTTTCGAATTTTTGTATTCTGTGTTTTGCTTTGATGATTAGCCATTGATTTGAGTTGTTGGAACCCTAATTTTTACTGAACGTCTTCGATTAGAACCTTTTTTATTTTTTTATTTTTTTATTTTTTATTTTTTATTTTTTTTGGAATTTTTTTAGTCTCTGTTATTGCTTTCATGGTTATGTAGCTATTGGTTTAAGTTGATGGAACCCTAATTTTTACTGAACGTTGAATTTTGAAGAAGTTAACTGCAGATGTTTGGAAAATTCGATATATTATGTTACTGGGCATGAATGTATCCCTGTAAATACCTTTTGTATGTCAATGATGCCTTGAAATTGTTTTTGGCATATCCAAGGAAGTTCGATTTGTTTGATCTGAAACATAAGGCAATGGCACAATGATATGTGAGGAAAATAATCTGTTGATTGCAATTTGTTAACTGAGTTTATATCTTACATTCATTATGCAGAATGAGTAATAACTATGTTACTGATTCTATTTTCATTCTCTATTTCGCCTGTTCATATAACTAATGACTCGATTAAATAACCAAAACAGGTGCAATGGCTGAAAAATGCAACTCAAATCGCAGTGCATATACCATTGACTTGAATACCTTCACCAAGAGGCTGCAGGCTCTCTATGCAAACTGGCGCCAGCACAAAAACGAGCTATGGGGTTCGTCAAATTACCTTGTCGTGGCCACATCGCCTCCTTCAGAAGATTTACGCTACTTGAAATCCTCTTCCCTCAACATATGGCTGCTTGGTTATGTGTTCCCCGAGACAATCATAGTTTTTGGGGACAAGCAAATCCATTTTCTGTGCAGCCAAAAGAAAGCGTCTTTGCTAGAGGCAATTAAAAAGCCCGCCAAAGACGCATTGTCCTTGAATGTTGTCATGCATGTGAAGGAGAAAAATGAAAATGGGAACAATCAGATGGATTCGATTCTCCACGCTATCCGTTCAGAATTCAAGTCGAGTGACCAAAATGCTCCTACAGTTGGATGCATAGCCCGAGAACCTCCAGAAGGGAAACTCCTCGAGACTTGGTTCGAAAAATTGAAAAAAACAGGTTTTGTACTGACTGATATAACCAGTGGGCTTTTCAATCTTTTTTCCGTGAAGGATAAAAATGAAATCACCTACATAAAGAAGGCTGCGTATATAACCGCCTGCACCGTGAAGAATTTTGTGGTCCCGAAAGTCGAGAAGGCGATCGACGAGGAGAAAAAAGTGACGCATGCCTCACTTACGAAAGACACAGAAAAGGCCTTACTGGACCCTGTAAATATCGACCTGAAATTGAAAGCTGAAAATGTGGATATATGTTATCCTCCGATCTTTCAGAGTGGAGGCAAATTTGACCTCCGGCCAAGTGCATCGAGCAATGACGAGTATCTCTACTACGATTCTTCCAGCATCATAATCTGCTCGGTCGGGTCCCGCTACAATAGCTACTGCTCGAATATCGCCAGGACTTACCTTATCGACTCGGATGCTGTGCAGAGCAAGGCGTACAGAGTCCTTCTTCGGGCCCATGAGGCGGCTATTCTTGCGGTGAGGCCAGGGAAAAAAGCCCGTGTGGTCTACGAGGCTGCTCTCTTTGTGGTGAAAACCGATGCTCCTGAGTTTGTCCTTCATCTGACAAAATCTGCAGGGACAGGCATCGGTCTCGAGTTCCGTGAGTCTGGGCTGAGGCTCGATGCGAAGAACGAGAAAGTGCTGAAAGCGGGGATGGCCCTTAATGTTTCGATCGGTTTTCAGAATCTACAGTCGAAGACGAAAAAAAACAACCCGAAAACCCAGAATTTCTCGATGCTGCTTGCTGATACGGTTCTCGTCACGGAAGGCGGACGTGACGTTGCCACGTCAGCCAGCTCGAAATTGTTCAAGGATGTCGCGTACTCCTTCAACGAAGAGGACGATTTAGACGAGCCGCTGAGAAAGAAAGCAAAGTCTGATGATAACAATGCCGAAGAAAAAGAATTTGTGTCCTCCTCCAAAGCAACCCTCAGATCCGGCAACGGTGAGTTGTCCAAGGAGGAGCTCCGAAAGCAGCACCAGGCAGAGCTTGCCCGGAAGAAAAACGAGGAGACTGCCCAGCGGATTGCCGGAGTTGAGTCGGGCGATGTGAACGGGCGGGCCGCGTCTCGGATTGCATACAAGAGCGTGAATGAGCTCCCGCCTATCCGAGATATGATGACGGTCCAGGTCGACCAGAAAAACGAGTCCATCCTGATTCCCATCTATGGCTGCATGGTCCCTTTCCATGTGTCTACCGTGAAAACCGCCACAAGCCAGCAGGACACGAACCGGAGCTGTTACGTTCGGATCGTATTTAATCTGCCCGAGACCACCCATCAGAGTGCCGTTTACCTGAAGGAGGTCTCCTTCAGGTCCAAGGACTCGAGGCACATAAACAAGGTGGTCCAGCTGATAAAGACTCTCAGGCGAAATGTGATGGCTCGGGAGTCCGAGCAAGCCGATCGAGCTTCCCTCGTCACCCAGGAGAAGCTCGTCGTACTCTCCAGTAACAAGTTCAAGCCGATACGCCTGCACAACCTGTGGATACGCCCCGCGTTCGGGAGGAAACTGACCGGCACGCTTGAGGCCCATCAGAACGGTTTTCGTTACTCGACTTCGAGGGCCGACGAGCATGTCGACATCATGTACGGCAACATCAAGCACGTGTTTTTCCAGCCGGCTGAAAAGGAAATGATCACCCTCGTTCATTTCAACCTCCACGATCACATCATGGTACGGAACAAGAAGACTAAGGATGTCCAGTTCTACGTGGAGGTCATGGAGATGGTCCAGAACATCGGTGGTGGCCGGAAAAAGTCGGCCCACGACCCAGACGAGATCGAGGAGGAGCAGAGGGAACGTGACCGAAAGAACAAGATAAACGCGGATTTTCAGCAATTTGTGGGCCGGGTGAATGACCTGTGGGGCCAGGCCCAGCTCCGTAGCTTGGGCCTGGAGTTCGACCAGCCCGTGAGAGAGCTCGGCTTCCATGGAGTTCCTTTCAAGTCGTCGGCTTTCATAGTCCCGACCTCGGCCTGTCTCGTCGAGCTGATCGAGATGCCCTTCCTTGTGATCTCGCTTGCCGATATCGAGATTGTTAACCTGGAGCGAGTCGGGCTGGCCCAGAAGAACTTTGACATGGCGATCGTGTTCAAGGACTTCAAGAGGGACGTGATGCGGATCGACTCCATCCCGTTCAGCTCGTTCGACGGGATAAAGGAGTGGCTGGACACGACTGACATCAAATATTACGAGAGCCGGCTTAACCTCAACTGGCGTTCGATACTGAAGAAGTTTACTGATGACCCTCAGGAGTTTGTAAATGAAGGCGGGTGGGAGTTTCTGAACCTGGAAGGCACGGACTCGGATTCAGATGACTCGTCCGAGTCGGACCAGGGTTACGAGCCGTCGGATGTTGAGCCCGAGTCGGAGTCTGATGATGATGACTCGGACAGCAAGGCTCTTGTGGAGTCTGAAGATGATGACGAGGATGAGGAGGTGGAAGAGGGGAAGACATGGGAAGAGCTCGAGAGGGAGGCTAGCAATGCGGATAGGGAGAAAGGGAATGAATCGGGCAGCGAGGAGGAGCGGAAGAGAAGAAGTGTTGGTTCCAAGAGAATGAGATTTAGGTAGGACTTAGGAGGAGAATGATTTCCAAATATTTTGGCCTGGAAAGTATGTGTTGATGAATTAACTAAGCTGTTAGGTTTGTGCATATATCTCTTGATTTTGTTTGTAGGACATGAAAATTTTTCTTTCAGTAGTGAAAACATTGAGCAAAGGGGAGAAAGTTTAAGAACATGTGAAACTCAGTAAAGGGAATAAAAGAAGAGGAAACTACTTTCTGAGTGAATGTGATTGACTATATATTTGTTGATTACAAGATGTAATGTATAGGAAAAATTAGAACAACAAAACAGAGAAAACATGCATTCTATACAAAGCATTAAAAGCCCATCTGCTTCATCCACAGGGACCACTTTACAGCCTCAAGAAACATATCATTCCTCTTCAATGCAGAAATTAGATTGTGATAAGTTATCTTATCCGGCTCGACTTGATTTTCTCTCATCTCCTTGACCAAATCCACTGCATCCTGGACCAAACCCGCAATCCCATACGCTTTTATCAACGTGTTGTAGCTGCACAAATCGGGACTCACCCCACACTCCTTCAATTCCATCAACACGCCACCAACTTCTTCGATCAACCCTTGTTGGCCGTATATGTTGATTAAGATGTTATAAGTATAGTTATCGGGCGAACAATTAGATGCCTTCATCATCTGCAAAACGCTTTTGAATTTATCCATCTCGCCTTGCTTCCCGTACGCGTCAAGCATGCAGTTATAGGCTTCAACCGAAACCGAAAAACCGTCAAATTGCATTTTCTTGATGGCCGAAGACATATTCTTTACGTATTTATTTCTCCCATAAGCGGCGATTATGGTATTGTAAGATATGACGTCGATCAATCCCCGTTTCCTAGCCATTCCGAATACCCTTTTCGCCTTCTCAAACAGCTTCGATTTTCCGTAAGCATTAAGCACGACGTTGAAGGTGAAGGTGTTTGGGGAAAACCCTCGACTAATCATTTCGTCAAAGAGCCTCGTGAGCTCATCCACAGGCAATGCACGAGCACAACAGTTTATAACACAATTATACATTTCCTCGTCCCAAATCTCGCCGTTTTTCAAGACTTTATAATACAAGTTCGACAGCTTATCATCCATGCCAAGCTGCTGGTATATGCGGAACATATCCCGAAGAAGATAAACATCAGGCACGATATTCTTCTGTTCATCCATTATTTCAAGAACTTTGCTAGCCTCTTTCAGAGCACCAGACTTGACATACATTCTGATTACGATGCTAAAGGCTATCATGTCCATTTTGACACCCGAGGCTTTCAGTCGAGCATAAAGCATCTCGGCTTCAGAAAAAACGCCCGTTTTACTGTAGATGTCTATCATGGTGCAGTAGATGCCCAAATTCGGCTTAGCAGGTTTTGGCATGCTGGTGAATATTCGGATGGCATTTTCGAGACGGCCCCAATCCTTGCACGAACATATTAGGAGATGGTACAAGTTCTCCTCGAACATGGGGTCCACCCACTTCTTCTCGGTCAGCACTTTAATTGCTTTATCGATCAAACAATTTTTTACATACGCTGTTACAAGAATTGTGCATGATGTCTGATTTATGAGAACATGATCATATAAAGGACCTTCCAATACCAAAGCCATCTTTTCAAGTCTATTAGCTTTCTCGTACGCCTGCAAAACAATTCCAAAAATCGAGGATTTTTGACAACCAATCATCATCATATCGTCGATTGTCTTTACGGCACCCTCTTCATCTTCATGCATGGCCTGCAATCTTATCAAAGTGTTCAAGTTTGACGAATACGGCTCAAACCCGAGCCTCTTGAGTTCATTATAGTAAAACTTCACCTTCTCGTAATTGCCCGCTCGACCCCAGCCTTCGATCAACGACCTATATGTCGTCTCATTGGGTACAAAACCGATTTCTGTAAGTTTTCGGAAGCTCGTTTCTGCACAATCCATTTCTGAAATTCTCCCATATCCAGTAATCATAGTGTTGTACGCAACTAAACAGGGCAAAAAACGAGCTTCGCTCATCTCACAAAAGACCCGTTCGGCAACCCTTAACTTGCCCTGCTGGCAATAAGCGTTTAGCACTACCAACCAATTCTCTCGATTTAAAACTACTCGGTCTTCTCTCAGGAAGCCAATGGCAATTTCTGCTTTTTCATACAAGCCCATGCGCGTATAAATCGTGATCATAGCCGAATAAGCAGATTGGCATGTAATTTTTCGATCCCTCATCAGGGAATACGTATACTCTGCCTCCTCAACAACAGAACATTTTTGATAAAGAGACATAAGCATCCCGAAAGTGGCAACATTCGGCTCGACATTATAATCCAACATCATTCTGAACCAACGACTGCCCCAACCCACGAGCCCACTCTTGTAACAAGCATATATGAGGGTATTGAAAACCCGAAAAGTAAGCTCGCAATCCAAATCACTGACCATCTCCTTAACAAGAGCTTCTGCCCCGTCCCAGTCCGATTTTCTACCCAAGACTCTCAGAATCAAATTACAGGCGGGCGAATTCCTTCTCAACTTCCCGTTTACTTTCATCCACTCGAAAAACCTCAAAGCTTTGCTGTCATCACTTCTCTCGAGCTGCTGTAGGATCAAATTACATTGTCTGGAGCTCAACTCAGGCCTGATGCTATCAAAATCTAAATCATCCATGGAACTTTCTCTTTTCTTATATCTGCTGACATTTTTATAAACACTTGAACTACTTTTGGTGCTTCCTCTCACTCTCTTAGCACCCCGGGACCTTCTCCAGGTATTCACTCTCCCTTTATCAAGAAAATCTTGGCTTTCGGTAGTCAAATTACCCTCGTCAGCCACATTTCTCCGGCTATCGGTTAAAATACCATCCGAGTTAGCCTCAGATGTGTTCGAAGGCTCATCCTTCAACCTAGCAACCCTATAGTGCTTCAGTTTACAAAAGGGCTTCACATAAATTGCCCCGCTTGTGCACACATACCCCGAAAAGAGGGAACTTGAAGCAAAATTTGAGGAATATAAAGCGGATATCAGTTTCTTGGACTCAAAAGGGTTGTTATCTGGTGAGAAGGGCAGCTTTAGAGAGGCCATGGAAGCAAAAACTGGCCTCTGCTAAAAGCTGATCTTGATTATGCGAGATACATTGTCACTGATTGAGTAAAGTGAGTAGATGAAAATGCAAATTGTATGTTTTGTAAAAGGCCCAGATTAAGTTAGCGAACTCGAGCTGTAGCATATGAGGAAAAATCGTACCTTTTGGATCACTGCCCACTGGTGAGAGAGTAAACGGTGAGAGGATAAAGGCAGTTGAAACTTGAAATAAGTGGAGGAAAAACAAGAGCGTTTTGGGTTTATGATTTTTTTGGGATTTTAGACCAATATATACGAGATGCTACAGTCTCGTTGCGAAACTATTATATTGAGATTTGTAATTGAGAGATCAACTTTCATGACGATTAAATTATGATATAAGGATTACAAATCTGGATGGAATGATTCCGTAACGAGACTTTAGCATTTCTCATATGTATATATTTTAGTTGTAGTTTATTCATTAAGTTTTTGAAATTTCAACCTTCTATATGAAATTTCACAAAA